CTGTGGGACACAGTACTGCACAAGGGTTAGTTCCGTGCTCAGAAGGTCTCAGAGCATGGTTAAAAATTACTTGGAAAATGAGTACTGCAGTAAAGGTAAAACTTACTTCAAAAGGCTTCTCAAACTATGTGGAAATTATTTCTTAATCCTTCGTATTCATTACACTTGTCTGATGCCATAGTTTGGTATCTCTGAGGTGCTGTGAAGTTCAGTAGTGTGACTGTAGAGAATACCCAAATACATGAGTAACTCTGGAATGTGAATGGTGTGGAGATGCTATGTATGACCTAGATCTAGGCATGGAACAGTCAGATTATTATTAAGTATTGCTTCCGTGACACCAAGTGGGAGTTCTGTTGGGAAAACAGTTTTTTTCTAGCATGAAGTGACATATTAATATTTCACAGACAGTTCTTCCTTCTCCATTTTTGAACTGTAACTGTCCTGTAAATGTGCTTTTTGTGTATATGTGGCCAGTGTAGTCCATGGTGGTGTCTCTTATCAGTGAGGGTGGATTGGATGATTAAATGTCTGAGAAAAATAACATGACAAATGCTGCTGTAGCTCTTAAGAAAACATGAAGCTTGGTGCTGCAGACTACACTGACGGATGCTGCAGCATATCCGTTTTGTGCTAGTCTGGTGCATTTCCACTGGGTTGAAGTAGTGTGGGAATTCCAAATGGACTGTGTTGCGCCTTAAGGAATGCTGGAAGGCCAAGTTCAGTGCAGACTGGATAGTTCTGCCAGAGTTTAACTCATTAGAGGGTTTCATCTGACAATATTTGGTAGCAAACCTGGAAAACACCTCTTTTGTGTTGCTTAATATGATGTGCCTTATTGTTTGTTTAAATGCAGCTGCAACTCTGGTTGGATAATCCGAAGATTCAGCTGACTTTTGAGGCAACTATCCAACAACTAGATACACCTTACAATAGTAAGTCAAGTCTTTCGCTACCAAACCTGTTCTGTACATGTTATTGTTGTTCCCTTTCACTTCTGATGGGGGGAAAAGCTGCTGCAGATGTGTCCTTTGTTATAGAGCTTCAGAGTCCCTGTGTACAGTCTGAGATACTGCATTACGCTCGTGGTTGAGGTTTGTTAGAGTTCATTTGGCTGGTAAAGAAACAGATCCCTTGCAGGATTTACAAAAGCTACTCAAAGTATGGGTTGTTACAGAAGTTTATTGCAGCGTTAATTCATGTGCAGCTTTTAAGATTTGCTTCAGCTTCATGGTGATTTGTAGCTGTGAGGCTTTTTAATGCCTCCTAAAGCCATATGGTTCATAAAGTTGCATGGGACTCGAATAGACTAGATGTGATGAAAGAAGGCAGTAAAAGAGTGAGGAGTTGCTGCTTACAAGTGGAGACTGTTCCGCTCTTCTCAAAAAAGATCCCAGTAAACTGGAAAGAGGTGGATGGTAGCCATGAAAAAATAATTAAAGAAGAAAATAGTGCTGAAATGAGCACAGATACACTGTCAAGGATTGCAAAATACTGAGTTATTGTGCTTTTACAAATAAAAATGAGAATTCAGTGCTCCATAAGGGGCTGGCATAACACTGGCAAATCACATCACAGTTCTGCGTCAAGATCTCTGGATTTTGCAGTCATGTTCCAAAAAGATGTTCTGTCACACAAAATTGAAAGAAGTACTTAATGTCCTGGACAGCTTTTCAGGCAGGATTTAAAACTGCAGCACAGCATGGAAAACAGACTGTTTTTCAAAAAACTTCAGCCTCAGGCACCGTCAGGAAGATGCAGCAGTCAGCAGGACAGCAGAAAGGGCTGTGTGCAGGGGCACTTGGCTGGGTGGCTGCTGTCACTGTGTCTTCAGTACATGCAGAATGACTGTCCCACCTTACCCGTTCCAGGTGACACAGTGCTTGTTCACAGAGTCCACAGCTACTTGGAGCGCCATGGGCTGATCAACTTCGGCATCTACAAACGAGTGAAGCCTCTTCCAAGTAAGAAAGTTGAATGTTGTTTCTAATTGGAGTTTTGTTTAATTGTTCTGTGATTTCTTAGGAGGAATTTTGGAGTGGGGGTTTTGGTTGTTTTTTTTTAGAATTGCAGTGGTTAGAAGATGACAAGAGGCTGTCAGGTCATCTGGCCGTGGGTGTTAGTGTGTGTTATTTTGCCATGGAAATCACTCAGAGGAAAAGTGTTTGCAAATTTTCTGTTTATTATTTGGTGACTGTCACTGTTCAGTGAGTTATCTTTGTTCCTCATTTGAGTAACAAAAGTCAGAAACACAATATTGTGCTTGGATCTGTTACAGGCTTAAGTGATGCTTGAATTTTGTGAGTGCTGAACTTCTCTGCCCTTTCTAAGGTTTATTCTTCTGAAGCAGAAAGAAATAAAACTCTGGTAGTTTGTCCCACAGTAATTAATAAGAATCACTTTCTTCTTCAGGCAGTTGTCCTTGAGGAGTTTTTTTCTCCCTGTGCATTTTCCAATACAGGTATAACTGTCTCATGAAGAATTACGAAGCATTTTTCTATTATCATATTATGTACAGAATTACTTCAGTTTCCTTTTTGTTCTGTCAGAGCTGCTGATGAGAAAGAAGCTGGTTTTTGTTCTTGGTATCTCTGAAATGCAATTTCAATATGACTGCTTGCAATCTAGTAATGCACACTGAGCCTTACTGTAGCTGTTTTTTCCCATTCTTTAGCCAAGAAGACTGGAAAGGTGATCATTATCGGCTCTGGAGTCTCTGGCTTGGCAGCTGCTCGGCAGTTGCAGAGTTTTGGAATGGATGTCACAGTTCTGGAAGCCAGAGTATGAATTTCTCTGCTATTTTACTTCTCTATGGCAACTTACCCAGTAACCAGGTTGAGTACTGAGTGCTTGGGGCTGTGTCCCAGCTGGATGCCCAGTGTGGGCGAGCCTGGGTGCTCTCCCAGGTAACCAGGATGGATTGCTGGTGTTGAACCTAGAAAGGAAATGAGTGGGTTGTTCTTGCTGGGAGCTGGTTGATACTTTCTTAGGGCTGGGCTGGGTAGTCAGGTGCTGGTGTCATGTTGTTACACTAGGAACAGCTCAGAACATTCTTCCCTTCACGTTGAGAAATTGTTTTTTTCACCAAAAAGCAGAATGCAAGTCTGTGTTTTGAGAACTGGTCTGTTAAATAGAATTATTGCCTGGAACTGCCATACAACATCAGGCAGGATATTTTTCTTGCACCTTTTAAGTCTACATTAATTCTTATTTATTACTGTGTGCTTAGCAGAGACTAGAAAATTATATAAAGCTACATTTTGTGGTATGTGAACTAGGTGCTTGTTCTTCCAAAAATAAGGTGTTCTTCATATCCTGCCCAAAATGGAATCTGCCTTTTTTTTTTCAGTTGAAGTTTTATTCATATAATCTAATCGGTTGGGAATAGCTTGATACACATTTAAAGTAAATCCATTGACCAACTGGACTTTACGTTTTACTTCCTAACTTTTTGTTTGTACATTTACTTCTGACACTTTCCTAGCACAGATTAAAATAATCTGCTGACGTTTTTCTTGTTAGAGTAGTATTTCAGGCTCTTAATTTTGCTACTGCTCTTGCTGCTGGGGAGCAGACCTGCTGGCTCTCTGCTTCCCAGTTTCCACACCACTGCAGCAAAGGAGAGTACAACAGTCTGATGGTTTAAGGGCCACTTACTCACCTGAATGTATTGGGGGATTTTCTTCTTTATTTATTTGTTTGGGGTTATTTGGGGTTATTTTTGAAACTGGAATTAAGAAACTCATGCTGTAACCTGACTTTTGTTCTCTGTGTCTTGGTTATAACCAGTATGTAGATCTGGCAAGAGGCTATGGTAAAATAATGCACAATATTTTATAGCCATTTTTCTCTAGACTGCTCTTGAGTAGTTTTGTGTTTTCATTTTTATTTTTAAGGCTGTTTGGTACTTTCTTTCATTATGATTTCAGTGATTTAGATGATAGTTTCTTTGTTTCTAGTCATTTTCTGTAGCTTGCAGACTATTTGTTTATATTTTTCTGAACTGATTTAGTTGTTGAAAATCAGACTATGTTGTTATATGAATTGGTAGCTGGTTGGGATCTTTGCCCAATTGTAACCACTATTTCTCTCTGATAACTGGATGAGAAATAGGGAAAGGTGACTTTTTTCCTTAGGAAGTTTAAAGTCATTGGGTAATAAATGTCATTTTTACTAGTAGTATTTGACAAGGATCAAAAATATTTTTCCTGCTTTTAAAATGAGCTGCTGATTCCTGATTATCTTCTGAATTGATAGCACAGCTGAATCATTACTGATACAGCTGTTGGACTTGGTGGTAGGGAGTGGGGGGAGGAGGAAATCTAATACCTAACCTAATGTGTCCATGAAAAATGGAGTATGGGATTGGGAATCACAGTAGATCCTACTGTAGATATAGTTAAATTTGCCCAAATCAGGTTAGGCACCTTTTTTTCTTTTCCTTTCCTTTTTTTTTTCTTCTCTTTTTTAAATGCAGCTTTTACATTTTATTCCTTAATTTTGGCAAATTAATGATGAAGTCTTCATTTGCAGAGGTGTTTGGAAAGGTATGTTGTTATACATTGGATAAGAGAATACTTGCACCACGTCCTGTAGAAGCTTCAGTGGTGATAATCCAGTGAGATGTCTTGCTGAATGGTTTCTGGAGGTTTTGGAGGTTTGATATGTTGTGTTTTAACAGGACCGAGTGGGAGGGAGAGTCGCAACCTTCCGCAAGGGGAACTACGTTGCTGACCTGGGAGCAATGGTGGTAACAGGACTGGGTGAGTCTTTCAAAATCTAGAGGAGTGGGGACGAAAAAAGGGGGACAAGATTTTACAAATCTGAAACCTTACTGCTGTTTTCTTTCATGGTCAAAATAATTGGGTATTTTTAACTCTTGAAATGTTCATGTTCTAGTTCAGCCTCTTTGGCAGTTAACGTTTTTCATAAAGAGCAAAGCCAAGAGATGATGAGAGATCCCAAAGGGAAGAAATGTGTTTTTTCATTTGCATGAGCAAAGAAGGTAGGAGGGGAAATGCATAGCTATTCTAAAGACAAAGCCCTTCTTTAAAGTTTAAACCTCAAAAGTACATTCTCCAAGTTATTTCTAAAACAATTGTAAAATAATGGCAAGCAAACCATATATTTCTTCTTATATATTGCTAGTTTATGGGATGGCATCAGTTATTGATATGGTTACTCTTGTAAGAATATGGACAAGTGCTTAGTGTGGGATATCCTTCAGTAATGCAGTGAAATGACAAAATATTATAAAATCTATAATAAACCTGAGTCTTTACTGACTTCTTAAACTTGGTGTCTGTCTTATCATAGTGTTACTAAATTGCATACAAAAACTGGTTCCATGGAAAGAGCACTGAAGTTGCACAGTTCTGGAAAAACAGATTTCAGATTGCCTAGTGGTAGACTATAGTATTTTTATATGTAATTCACAGAATGTTAAGGAGTTGAAATGGACTCAGATATCACCCAGCCCCAACCCCCTGCCCTGGGCTGGGACACTTCCCACCACACCAGGTTGCTCAAAGCTTTCTCCAACCTGACCTTGAACACTGTCAGTGTTGGGGCAGCCACAGCCTCCTGGGCAACCTGTGCCAGTGTCTCACCACCCTCACAGCAAAACCTTCTGCCTAAGGTCTAATCTCAATTTCCCCTTACAATTTCTCCCCATTGCTCCTTGTCCTGTCCCTGCAGTTCCTAACCAAGAGTCTCTGCAGCTTCCCTGGAGCCCCTTCAGCTCCTGGCAGGTTGCTCTGAGGTCTCCACACAACCTTCTATTCTCCAGGCTGAACAGCCCCAACTCTCTGTCTGTCCTTGTAGGGAAGGTGCTCCAGTGCTCTTTGTGGCCTCCTCTGGCCTTGCTCCAACAGTTCCATGCCCTTCAGTTGTTGGGGACATGGAGCTGTGTGCGGCCCTCCAGGGGGGCTTCAGCAGAGCAGATAGGGAGACACACCTCCCTCCTCTGCTACCACACTCCTTTGACTGCAGCCCAGGCCTGGGTTGGTTTATGGGCTAAGCTCACACCGCAGCTCATGGTTTGTCACCAGCCATCACCCCCAAGTCCTTCTCCCAGGGCTGCTCTCAGTGATTTCTCTGCCAGCCTGTAGGTGTGTCTGGGATAGCCCTGACCCAGGTTTAAGGACCTTGCACTTGGCTTTGTTGAACTCTGTGAGGTTGGTATTGGCCATCTCTCAAGGTCCCTATGGATGGCCCATCCCTTCCCTGCAGCTTGCTCGGGACCTGGGGATCAGTCTCATCACGTCCCATGGACGTGTGCACATTCAGATTTCTTAGATGGTCCTGAACCTTGACCACAAATGGTCACCCATTTGTGATGGGTGTTTCCTTTCCAATGCAATCTACCCTTTGCCTGGAATGAGGCAGCATATGCTATGGAGAAAAGAAAGAGACTCCCGTAGGAATGGGAATGGTTTGAAGGGCATCTTTCATATTTGTGAATCTGGGAGAGAAGAGGAGAAGGTTACCATAGGGATCGAGCTTGTGGTTTGGGAAGGTGAAAGGTGGAAGTAATGGAGTCTCCTCTGGTTTTGATAGTAAACTGTGGAAGAACTAAAATTCACAGTAGGTTGTTGAACTAGAAATGCGAACTTACTTAGACCTACTTCAGAACTCTGTTCTGCCTGTTCAGTCACCTTTCTAAAGACAGGAAGGTATTAGGGTGGCTGAACTCCCCTCTCTGTCTTGGGCAAACACTCGGTTTGATTTGGTTGCAGAATCAGAGAGGATTGGGAAGCTAGATCTGAAAAACTTGTCCCACAGTTCATTTTATGGAGACAGCACATATTGCCTCTGCTCTATAGCATTCCCCATCTGCTGCAGTTCTTTTCCTTTCCTCTGCTACCCTTAGTTTGATGTTTAGGGGTTTGGGATGCTTAAAATTGATGTCTTCTGCCTTTTTCATTGTTCTGTGTGGAATCTCCTCTGTTGTTTTCTGATCTGTTTAGTTACACAGCTTCTAGGTACAGTTGGTGTATGGAGTTCATCTTTGCAGGTTGCATTCACTAGTGTCACTTGCTGGAGTTCCACTAGTTTTTAGGAACTGAATTCTTTTGGTTCCATCTCCATGTCACCACACTTGGGCCAAAGCTCCCAAAGTCACTGTGCAGCTGTGAGAGCTTTCCTTGACTTTTCAAACACTCTGCTTGTAATTGTGTTTATAACTATAAACTCTCAATCGTGCTAAGGTTGCTGCCACTCTGGGACTCTGCTTGTATAATCACCTTTGTTACCTCCGGTCCTTCAGGTGTTGCTGGGCAGGTTCATTTCCATGCCCTCCTTTCAGGAGTCACTGTGAAGGCAAACTTTTGGCAGTGTTGCACTAGGTCACTGCAGTGCATCCACTGGAGTCGGTGTTTTAGTCTCTGAAAGAGCTTTAACTATGGAGTTTTTATTTAATTGCAGACAGACTTTGCAGGAGTCTCTGTTAACTATATAAAGTCTTTTCCAGGAGGAAATCCCATGGCTGTGGTCAGCAAACAAGTGAATATGGAACTGGCAAAGATCAAACAGAAATGCCCACTTTATGAAGCAAATGGACAAGCTGTAAGTCTGATACTGTTTTCATGAACCTTTTCAAAAGAAGTAATATGTAAAGTGTAGTTGTTACCAGGCCATTGGCCTAGCAGGGGATGGTTTCACAGAGGGAGAGGGCAAAAGGAAAGTGTGCCAATTTTTAGGCATTGTAATAACAGTCCAGCATATCTGCACCTGCTCTTCTTAAAACTGCCTTTTCCACATGAGTTTTTGCCTTTGCATTTCAGAGATTTTGTGGAAGCCATGTTCCTGTTTGTTCTTTCCAAGTTCATTACTGTTTTTCCTTAGTTGTTTGTCCCATGCCAAACCAATTACTTGCCGTGCTGGCACTCTTAGCTTCTGTTGTTGCTGCTGCCCAATTTCCCTGAAATAAGCTCACTCTGACTGTTGTACTTACCTGCTGCTTTCTAAAGAATTGGCTAACAAGTGCCAGCTGGTTGGGTACATGCAGCAGAGCAGTAATAACAAACTAGAGCTGTGATTCACAGACTTAATTAGCTTTATTTCTTCCTGCTGTAGTGTCAGGGAGTGCTGTTAGGGATAGAAATGATAGGTCCTAGTTTAGTGCAGAATCACAAACAAGTATTGAGTAGAAATGTTCCTACCTGATGGATCTTAAACCATGGTACAAAGATTAGCTTCTGAAAGAAGACAAGAAGAATACTGGACTTCCTACTAGAGGCCTGGAAAAGTGATCTTGGCTCAAACTTGTTTGTAACGTGGCATTTGGAGCTTCTTTTACTGCACATGAGTCAATAGGGTGTTATAATGAACCTAGGGAAAGCTACCAAGGCACTGTAGGCAGTTCTAGCAGTCTGCTCCTGTGCTGTGAAATCAGTCGTGCATGTACTGTGCTGGTCTCTGCACTGCTGTGTTCCCTCTCCAGCTGGTTTCAGTGTCTGCCTGAGTTATGCCTCAGTGGGGTGGACATATGTATTCCTATGCCATTGGAAGAGACTCCCTCTGTAAACATCACCCGCTTTTGTCAGCTGCTTTGAACTCAGTATGCACTGTGACACCTGCAGCCTGACCCTGCAGCTTTCCTTCCTGTAGGCCTCTCCTTTCTCTTCCCGGTGTGCAGCAACTGGAGCACTTCTATCCAACCAAGTCCCTCAGACACAGGCAACTCCTGTGGTCCAGGAATTTCACTTGCTCATCAACTGGGCACTTGCTCCAGTGGAACTGGAGTGTTTATCTGAAAAGGAGTATTCTTCCCGATTCCTCTGTAGTGCTTCCCATACTGTTGATCAAATGCTGTTGGTCCCAGGAGACCCAGTCAGAATGGAGACTGGCAGTGTGCCTGCATGCTGCCCAGGCCTGGGCTGGGGAGCCAGCACAAGAGACAGCCTCACTGTTCTTTTGACTGAGCTGGTGGGACAGGTAATGACATATCCCATGTTGGAAGGTAGTTGCTTCCCATCAGATCTGTGCATGTACTGTGTAGTGACAGGAAGGTGTAACATTGATAACACTTTTGAAAGGCATGTCACAAAACCTGTCAGCTTATCTGCTACAAACAAGGCTTGATATGTGTAACTGGGTATATCTACCAGACCAAATTACATCACTTCCTTGTGTTGAATGTTGTCTTGGTGACTTCATAATGCACCAGCCTGTTCTTCCTTGGTTTAAAAAACCAGTGATTAAATTGGATTGCCTCTGTGTGCTGCTTGTTTCCTAGCATGTCTGCCAGGTAGAGCTTCTTGGAACATTTGGCTAAACTGTCTAATTCAAAGCCATGATGCTGCTTACAGTAAGGCAGTTATTTTACTAATCCTTTCTTTTCATTTTTAACATTGCCACAGTTTTTCCTCTGACTGTTAGCATTGCTAAAAATCAAATGCCGTAGATCTGTTTTTGCAATGTTTTCATATCTTGGTGCTTTGATTTTATCCCCCTGTCCCTGTATAGAGTTTAACCTGAAACAGCTCTCAGGTTACTTATGTTGTATTTTTTAATGCTGCAGTTGTTGAAAGGGCATTGTCAAGGTATTACTTCATAAGCAGTAAAAATGAGCTTCATTTAAGCTGAAATCTTTCTACAGGATATACTTCTTCCAAAGGTGCATTCAGATTGGGTTACTAGTGAGTACTGGGCAAGTAGCATCCAAGTACCTTTGGGAGTAAAACTTTTTCTCACCCTGCCTAGAGAGAGTCACTTGATAGTGTCCATTACATTTTCCTTTCAGCTTATCCCTGATCCCAAGTCCATTCATGGTCCCACTCCTCCTCAGAATCCTCCTGGTTTGTGCCCACCAGTAATAGCCAAGAGCACAGCCTTTCTTGTCTCCAATAAATGAACACTGATATGCCACCTCTCCCTTGTGTGTTTTGACAAACTTCATGGAGCTCGACAGGAGGCAAGTTGTAGCTTTTGCATTGGCTAGTTCCTTAGCCATCCTGGGAAGTATCAAAGATCTTGTTGGAAAACAGTCTACATCAGGGAATAATTCAGACATCTGCAGCAGGGAATGCATCTAGAAGTCTAGGGACAAGTGATACTTGGATGTTCTTCATACTTTGGCCGCTGTCTTGACAGCTTTCTGCATCTACACAGATGTCTTTTCCTGCGAGTCTGTCTTTCGCTCTAGTCTCTGCATTTTGCTAAAGGTTAGTGTACATGAGTTCTACACAGAGTCCATCCTTATTGTTAAACTCTGCATTGAGGGCATAAATCTCTTCTTGCTGGTCACAACTCTATGATGACCCCAGACTGAGGAGTTCTGTGCCTTCAGTAACCACTCCTGTGGTTGTTATTTTAGTTTTTACCATGGTGTTACCTAATTAAGAAAACCTTCTCACCAAAGAAGCAGGGATGGAATTAAGTTCCCTGCATATAGGATGGGCTGTTAATGATTGCAAGTTTCAGATCTTTTATATGTGGTGAGTTGCTTCCCTTCAAAAATTTAGGAGTTCAGAATAGCCTTTGGGAAGTTCTGCTGCCTGCACAGGTGCTTAAGCTTCTGCGTGAGGCATTGCTGTCAGCTGTGAAAAGCTATGCAATGTGAATATCAAAATGTTATTTCTCTTCCCTTTCTTCGTGCTAACTTCACATTGCAGGTAAGTGTGTGGATTTTGTAATGTCATCTTCAATGTGTTGCCCACCAGGATGCTCAGATCCTTCTCCTCTTGATCCCCAGGGTGTCCTCAGCCTGTCCTATGCATGGGGCTATTCCACTGCCGTTTCAAGGTTTGGCCTTTGAATTTCATCTGGTTTTTGTCAGCTAATTCCCTCACCTTGTTGAAATGACACTGAGGAGAAGAGACTGGGGAGGCCTGAGAGCAAACCTTACCTGTAAAGTCTGAGGCAAAGAGGAGCTGTGCTAAAGCCTTTTCCGTATCCATTAGCACTAGGTCAGATTGGGTTATCCTTAGTCTTTACCTACTGCTGTGCAGAGAGAGAGCCCTTCTTGCCCTTGTCCAGCATCTCGGCTTCAACTCTGACCAACTTGTGGTTTTGTTAATGCCCTGTCTGCATACTTGGGCACTTGCTTCACTCTTCACAGATGCTTTTCCTGGAACTTGGAAGATGAAACTTAAATGTTAGTGATTACTGTCAGTTTCTTGAAACTGGGGCTCTAATTTTAATCAGGAGAGCTGATTAAAATTCTTCATCCAGAGAAGTTCAAAATCTAATCATTTTGTGGAGTCTGCCTTGTGGAGTCTCTCTGGAGCACCTCTGTTCATCCTTAAGGCAGTGCTTGGTAGTAGCAAGTCCTGTTTTCCATCGGGGACATGCACCTTTTCCTGCTTTCTACTGGGGACATACACCAAGTCATGGCCCACAGAGACAAGGCCACCTTACTTAAGCCAGAAGCTGCAGCAGCATTCTGTCCATCCCTAGGGTCTCTCTTCAGAGGCAGAATCATTTATCCATGGATTGGCTGTAAGAAACTATCCTGAAAACCACATCTTCTAGATCAGACCTTTTCATTTCCAGCTTTTCCTTTCTCATCATTAAAAACATGATGTGGCTGACACTGTTAAAGCAGATCCTGGTGTTCCCGTGTGGTACCAAAAGGCCAAGGTTAAGTCAGTAGTGGGTGTATCGCGGGAGCGTGACAATGTTTGTGTTCAGGAGCTACCATCTGAAGCTTTCCTTAGAACTGCTATGCACACACAGTCTCAAAATTGGGAAACGCAGATTCTACCTGGTATCAAACCCAAATGGTTTGAAATATAACATGTGCCAGTTAGACTGTTACACAGCTATGGAGTTACATAATTGTTCTAAAATATTGACTGGCACAGAGGAGTGTTGAGTACAGATCTGGCTGAAGAGGAGGTTTCAGCATTCATCCTGAAGGGGAGGCAGTATCAGTCAGGGAAGGTGGTATAGGCTGTGCATCTGCAGCTTGAAACTGTAGATTGGACAAGACTGGAGATAAGTATAGGGAGAGTTTGAAATACTCACATATAGTTAAAAGCATCATCTTTAGAGATGTGCTTCAGTCATCATGTAATCTGTGTCTTCTCCAGTGCTGTTGCATGTAATATTCCAGCCTTTGATTGCAAAAGTACTTGCACAGTATTGCAAAACTTTTATCATGTTTCAAAAGCACTTGATCTTGAGAAATAATAGTAGGCAGAGTATAGAATATAGTAGAGTCAAAAATGAGCTGATTCATTTTTGAGATCTAATAACTTTGATAGGGGAATTGAACTAAAGAAAGTAGGAGAACCTTGCAGGAATTGCAGAGTAGGTGAATCTTTGGCTGCCATGGGGTGGGGGAGGTATCTGCGTTTATAAAATTCTCTCCAAAATGTAGATCCATCAGAAATAAGGAAATTCCTTCCATAATGCAGTGAGTCTCCCAGGAAATGCCCCTGCAGAGCAGCACAGGCTTTTTAAGACATTTCACAGCAAAAACAATGGAAGAATCAACGTCTTAGTACAGGCAGGTAACAAAGTTGGCTGTGATGTTTATGGTATGTACTCAGAGATGAAGTGTGAGTATTAATTGTGAACCTCAGTGTTTCAGTCTGGGAAAATGCCAGAGAAGGCATACCTACAGAGCCAGACAGTGACCACTGGCACAGGAGTAAGGGACCAGCTGCAGCATGGAAGAGGAGTTCTAGTTAAAGCAGTGGGATACCCTGAGTTGACTGGGAAGTATCCTTTGAGTTAAGAATAACACTTGGAAAAGAGTCATCTGGTGGAGTCATAGGGATAGGCTTAGCACTGTTAACAGCACCTCTCAAGCTATTTTTGTTCTGTTCAGCAACCATCCAGGTGGTTTCCCAGTCATTTATAAGCACATACTTTTTTCTTCTCCTTACATTGATCTTTCCCTTACACTTGTCAGTGTTTTCTCTCTATCCTTTGTTTAACCCAGACTAGGTTTAACAGATATGAGGTTTGCTCTTCGTAGCATATGAACTCTTGTCACCTAACAGATATTTTCACACTGGCAGCACACACTATTTAACTGAGTATCATCAGTACAGTGAAATGCCAGTATTCTGGAAGTGTCCTGCAGTGCTTCCTCCATCATCCTAGAAAAGCAGATTGGTAGTTCTTAATCACACTGACCACTCCAAATGATACATTACTGTTTGTCTGCTTCAATGAGCTGTGTTAAGCCTTCTAAAGCTTTGTGATGGTGTAGAGCTATCCTAACATTAGAGTGGTCTTTTGGCAAGCTTCTGTAGCTTTTATTAACACACCTTCCTTCCAGTAAGGAAATCTTTGTGAGCCCCAAAGTTGGTTTAGTTTCTTCTCACAAGAGAAGTCTCTTGTTGTCATGGTTTGCCACATCTTCTTGTGGCTCTTTGGCCAGACATCCTGACAAGGTGACTGTACAGCCCTTGGTGTCTGACTGTTTGAGAGGGCTGAGGGTATTGCATTTCTTTTTGCAAGGGCTGTTCTCAGCAACTCTGTTGTTTATGAATGGGTTAAGAGCCGTGTTTGCTCTTCTGTCTCTCAGGTTCCCAAAGAGAAAGATGAAATGGTGGAACAGGAATTTAATCGTCTGCTGGAAGCTACATCCTATCTCAGTCATCAGCTGGACTTTAATGTTCTCAATAATAAGCCTGTGTCCCTAGGGCAGGCTCTGGAGGTTGTCATACAGTAAGTGACTTCTCTCTTTGTGGTAGACTTTGCTGTTTTGTGGATGAATTTCTGAAAGATACGTGAAACAATCGTGATGCTCCTAGGGTAAACATTATCCTCTTAATACAGCTGCTTGGTCTCTGCTGAGCTCTCCTTTGTATTTGTGTCCTGTTATTGAAGCAGAATGTGCCACAGATGGTTGAAGGAGAAAACCTCCCTTGAAAGTTCACTGAAAACCATTGCTACAGTGACAGGTAGTGGATAATTGCCCTGGTGTGATGGGTGTGCATACTGCCCACTTCTGCTACTTGAAAGCTATTGGCAGTTGTAATGGCTTTAATAATAGCAGCCAGCTTCAGAGTCCCATTTAGCTAGTCAGGTGTCCCTTATTTACAGAAACTTGGGTTAATTTTCCAATTGCCATACAAGTATTTACTAAAACATCCCATGATATGTGGTTTTTTTGCATTCCGCTAATGAGATTGTGGTAATGAGTTTTCTCATTAACACAAGGATTTTATGCTGAACTGACTCTCACTTCTCACCTTTTCCAGATTGCAGGAGAAGCATGTGAAGGATGAGCAGATTGAACACTGGAAAAAAATTGTTAAAACACAGGAGGAATTGAAGGATCTTCTTAACAAGGTCAGATGATTACATTTAGAACAAGATGTTAGCATTGTGTTCCTCAGAAAGTGCCAAAATGTACAAAAATGTCCATAGAAGAATATTAGAAAGTTGGTATTAATGCTGTTCTGAAAATATCTCTTGGCTTTAGATCTGCTTAGGAGTCCTGTTAGGACAAAGATCTCTCCAGCCTGAGGAGGAGCACATGAGTGATTAGGCAGAAAACCATAAATATGGGAAAAGATAGGAAGGGGACATACATAAACAGTGATGTTTCTTAGCTTCCTTTAGAGATGCTGACACTGACAGAGCCTTTCAGAAGGCTATTTAAAGATATTTACTGTCTGTACCACAAATCTGATTTGATGTACAGAAGCAGTGGGTTAGGCCTGCTTCCAGAATTTTTGCTTGTGGTAGATGAAATCTTCTCTGTGGAAGTTTCTCAAATGAAAAATGTTTGAGGATAGCTCTCATACTAAGTTATTTGCAACATACTTTTTAAGAAAGTGCTGTTTGGTATAAGCCATGTTGTTTGGGGTTTGGTGGTACTTATTGTGGCTTCTTGGAGGTAGAATGGCATGTAAGTAACATCTGCCAAAACCAGGGAATCTTTTTCATACAATGGCTTGGCTTGAGGTGAATATCCATCTTACACAGTAACTTTTTGAAATCTACCTTCCCTTGTGGTATTTTCCTTTCTTTCTTTTCCTGCTCTACCTGAAAAGATGGTGAATTTAAAAGAGAAGATTAAAGAACTCCATCAGCAGTATAAGGAAGCGTCGGAAGTGAAGCCTCCCCGAGATATTACAGCAGAGTTCCTTGTGAAGAGCAAACACAGAGACCTGACTGCCCTTTGCAAGGTAAAGGATGACACATAGAGCATGTCAGTCTGCTGTATACATGCCTGTGTACGTGTCAGACTGAGCATGTCAGTGCTCTCTGAGGACTTCAGCAGGCAGAGGAAATCATCTAATACAAATGTTTCCACATCTCTCACTCCGATCCAGAGCTTTCAAGAGAATGTGACTGATGGTAACTCTGGTTGCTACACTGGTAGGGCTGCACTGAGTACCTCTAGGTGGGGAGTACTGACATGCTGGAAGCTCAGTTTTACATTACAGTCTGTGCTGGCTCAGGTCAGACAGGATTGAATGTTTTGAAGGCCAAGTTTTATGTCAGACTTGGTGTTTAGCACAGCTGGGGCTCACAATAGTCTGGTACAGATACCTTTTCTGTAAGATCAAAAAGGTGGTTTCCTAAATGAAAGACTTCTTTCTATCCAGAGATTATCATGTACAGAGCTCTATCTTGACAAACAGGCTTAGTTCCCCCTCTCTAGAAGTATCTTGATATAGAAATGTGCCTTAAAAAGAACAGTTCTTAAGGTTTCCTTTCTGTGATAGTGACAGAGCCTTTGCTGACCCAGGCCAGGTAGAACCAAAGGTCATTTTTCAGTTACTCATTCAACAGAAGATAGGTACCTTCATTTGGGAGCTCAGTATGTGTGTGTATGTACACAAGTAGTGGCTCTTGTCACCAGTGAACTGCTTTGTGCCCTTGTTGCTTTTATTGAACACTCTGCCTTGAAGGAAGATTGCTGTTGCCTCTAAAACTAGTTCTGATGTTTTTTAAAATCAGGAGGAAGCTTGAATTAGGTCATGTATTTCCCTTTTATGCATGATTGCTTCTGCTTTGAACATCTCCATGTTAAATATTAGCCATAATATCTGAAGAGAGAAAGAAGAATAGAAGAAGCATTTTGTGGAATATGAAGCTCTCAGTACCATAGGAATCCTTAAAATACCAGGATGGTAACAGACCTTCATGTTCTTGAAATCCTGTTTAAATTCCTGAAATATTGCCACACTAATCTTTTCTGCATTGTGGCACAGAGTTCTGTATGTTCCAACAGCAGAAGAGCAAAATATGCTGGATTAAATGCTGGAAAAAATAAAGAACTTGATTTAGCTTCCACTAAATCCATGAACTTTCTGCTGATTTATTTTTCTTGAGATTAGGTCCAGTCTGATGCTACATGATGTCTTCAAGTCCTTTTACATGTAAGTTGATTTTAATGTTAGCTTTTAATCTTACTCAGGAGTATGATGAATTGGCAGAAACACAAGGAAAGCTGGAAGAGAAGTTACAAGAACTTGAAGCCAATCCACCAAGGTAAAGATACAAACTATAAAAATAAATACTCAGGAAAGCAGTTCTTTTACTACTCTTCCCTGAGTTTCAAAAATGCTGTGGTATGCTTTAGTTATGGGAATTCAAGGGGTGAAGAGGGCACAAACAGAGTTTGAATTCCCTCAGCTTTAGAACTCATTTTCCTTGTTTTTAGAGATGACCTGGACAGAGAAGCTGAGCTAGGGTGATTCAGTAAAAATCCTGACTGTAACCAGTGCCTGAGCTCAGGAAGCCTTTGAGATCTGAAATCCCTGTCAGTAGTGATGGCATCCAGTCTGCTTATTTTGGCTTTTTATTTCTATTTCATTTTATTCTGTGCTCTGTATGATTTCACTAGGGTTTTGTCATTGCTTTATGCATTCTGCTCAAGCCATTATTTAGGTAACCTCTTCTACTTCTGAAGTAAAGTTTCTAGATTTCCTTAGAATATTTTAAATGAACTTGACTTTGAAAGTCTAAATCGGGTAGGTTTTGTTACTCAGCTTTCATGAAGGAGGGCTGAATGTTTGAATCAGAATCTGCTTGTGTTGCTTTTTAATGGTTTCATTTCTGCACCAAGGAGGGACTCAGATGAAAAGGATTGTGAAGAAATTTTCAGAAGCAATGCATTTGCCACATCCTGTTCTAACACACTAAATGTCTTCGTATTGTGTTTGTTTTTCACTAGTGATGTTTATTTGTCATCAAGAGACAGACAGATACTGGACTGGCATTTTGCAAACCTAGAATTTGCTAATGCTACCCCCCTCTCTACACTCTCACTGAAGCACTGGGACCAGGTAGGTAACCAGTAACTCAGCGATTCACTCGAAGCTTAAGCTGCATATATCTCATTCTCAGGAGGTTTTTCCATGGTAACAGTTTCTCCTCATTAAGAGCTGCTTCTGTGCAGAGACTGAATTCTTATGTGATTATTATTCGTTGATGAAATAAATTCCAGACAGCTTCTTGTTAGTGCCAAAACAATCTTTAACAATGCTGTCTGCTGAAAATTTCCATACTAATTCCTTGACTAATAACCAGAAGGTATTTCACATTCATTTGATTCTACAAAAAAGACTTTTTGAAATAATTTTGCCATTGTGTAGTGTTGTTGATTATTTTCTGTTGACTTCACAGAATCATAGAATTTTGGAGTTGGAATGGACCTTACAGATCATCTAGTCCCAGCCCTCCCTGCCCTGGGCAGGGACATCTCCTCACTAGATCAGGTTGCTCAAGGCTCATCCAGCCTGGCCTTGAACACCACCAGGGTCAGGGCAGCCACCATGTCCTTGGGCAACCTGTGCCAGTGTCTCATCACCCTTAGAGTAAAAAGCTTTTTTCTAATATCTAACCTAAACTTTCCCTCCTTCAGTTTGAATCCTTAGGTGATTTCATTATAAATAAATGCTTTTTATGTTAGGTAATTTCATTATAAATAAATGCTTTTTATGCCTCTTCATTTTAGGATGATGACTTTGAATTCACAGGCAGTCACCTGACTGTGAGGAATGGATATTCCTGTGTGCCAGTAGCCTTGGCAGAAGGGTTGGACATTAAATTGAACACAGCAGTGCGACAGGTTCGCTACACAGCGTCAGGTACATGACTGCTCTGGGACACTGCTCTGAGTGTGAGCATAGAAAGCAGATTTCAGTGCTTCTGGAAACAGATGTAAGGATTGATCCTAGAAAAACCCTCCCATGATATGTTTTGGGTCAGATAAACAGCCATGTGTCTTACTGGGATTAATTGTGTAGGAAGTTGTTAGAGATCCATTCATCTGGAATGTTTTTTTTGCTGAATTCTGTGACTCATTTGACACAGTCCTTTCAGTTGTATTTACTGATTGTTCACTTTAATTCTCTCATTTCTTTACTTCATTGATAGAAGTGTTTGGAGTAGGAGATCTAGGAATGCTTAGGGCTTGGTGCCACAGGATCTGGTATTAGAAGTATAAATGAATGTAATGGAAGGAATGTATCTTGTTGTTGTTCTTCAAAACATTGGGCTTGGAGACCTGCCTACTGGGAGAGCAGCACATTGAGAGGCTCTCTCTACTTGCTGTTTATTTATGCATATATTTAAATATAATTTACTGACCTGGATGGACCTTTAGGCTTATCCCAGGAAGGCTGTTTTTCAGATGTGCATTAATTAATTACCCTTTCTGGAATTGAGCTAAGTGGCCAGTGACTTGCATACAAGTTAAGCAATAGTGTAAAGCTGTCTCCATGAACAAAGTATTTTCTGATGTGGTTATGGTAGTTTCTTTCATTTTTAATCCAATGCTCTTGCTGCCTGGCCTGTTCCATGATTGTTTTTCTCTCCCCTCTCCAGGCTGTGAAGTGATAGCTGTAAACACCAGATCTACCAGCCAGACCTTCATTTATAAGTGTGATGCTGTGCTGTGCACTCTGCCCTTGGGAGTGCTGAAGCAGCAGCCTCCAGCAGTTCAGTTTGTGCCACCTCTGCCAGAGTGGAAAACTTCTGCAGTGCAGCGAATGGGATTTGGCAACCTGAACAAGGTGAGTCCTGACTGGGAGACCTGCAGCAGCCCAGGGGTTGCCATAGGTAGAGTGTGAAATGTGGGTGGAGTATGTTTGCTGGGGAGAGGAAGAACATCTTTTCCACAGTGTTTTGCTAGGGTTTGATGATGAAAATTATCTGAAGAGCTGTAAGGATCTCTTCTCTAGTTCTCACACAGGTTTTAAAGAGTTAAATTGCAGAAGTAGTTCTGCTGGAGCTTTTTAACCAGCAAACTGGTAAACTCTGAGAGCATACTGACATGTGGGAAGGCAGTGCAGGCACACACCTCTGGACTGTGTATGTGCAGTACACATCCACCAGATTGTGCTTTCTTGACCTTTCCAGTGATAAGCATCAATGAGTGTAATTGTCTTTATTTCTTCTATGTGCCCTTGCTAACTGTTGATTCTCTGTTTCAAGGTGGTGTTGTGTTTTGATCGTGTCTTCTGGGATCCAAGTGTCAACTTGTTTGGTCATGTTGGCAGCACTACTGCAAGCAGAGGAGAACTGTTCCTCTTTTGGAACCTGTACAAAGGTAGCTGTGGTGCATGTCTGCTTTTGCCAGTACCTTGTGTGGTTTCAGGTGTAGAGAAGAGCACTTGTTAAGATGCTGGTAGTGTTCACATATGGATGTGATACGAAGACAGTGTTTGTGGGAAGACAAAGGGGAGCAGAGAACAGTAGTGATTGCAGACAGTTTTGTAGTCAGTTAGGGCAGCACGTGAGTGTGAGTTTACTAATGCATTACTGCTTCTCTACTGTAACACTTGCACTTTTATAGCTACTTTATTGTCTGGCACCTTGGTGGAGTTGTCCTCTGAGCTACTCGAGTGTTATCTTGGTTGCTTTCATTAAGGATCTGTTTAGTTGCCGTTGGTGTTCTGAAACCACTTAACTTTGTGTTGTCTTAATTATGTGCTTTGTATCTTGGAATCATAGAATGTTGAGGGGTTGGAATGGACCTGAGAGGTCATCCAGCCCCAGCCCAGCCCTCACACCAGAACAGGTTGCTCAAGGTTTTAGTCAGCCTGGCTTGGAACACTGCCAGGGTTGGGGCAGCCACAGCCTCCTTGTCAGAAGGATGTATTGAGTTCTCCAAGGAAAGGGTGATTTGTCTCTGTAGCACTTCTGAATTAAAAGCTGTTTCTTAGTCCTTAATTTCAAGTATCCTTGAAATTGAGTTTCTCTCTGGCCACTTGGAACATTGTTGGAGCTCTTCCCCTCTTTCGCTAAAGCTTCTCAAGCCAATGGGTCTGGCATCCAATTCAGTCTTACATTTCAAAACCTCAGCTTCCTGGATGTTTTTCAAGTTGAACTGACAGTCTGAAGCCAGACCTCTTGCATGAGTGTCTAATTTGAGCTGATTTCGTAACTGTAGATGAGCTCCTTTCATCTGCAACATCAAGTCCTTCAAGTCCTGGTTCAGGTGACTTACTGCCCAGGATTTCACACCAAAGTGTCTGGGAACTAACCAAGATTAATGACAATTTTTTTCTCTCTCTTTCCATACCCCCCACAGCACCAATTTTGCTGGCCTTGGTAGCAGGAGAAGCAGCAGGGATCATGGAGAACATCAGTGATGATGTCATTGTTGGTCGATGCCTTGCCATCCTCAAAGGCATATTTGGCAGCAGTGCTGTGCCCCAGGTCAGTGCAGGCTTGGACTGAAGGAGTAGGAAGGGTGTGTTGTGGTTATGCTGATAACGGGGGAAGGGACAGGAAACTACACACAGTGGGCATGAGTCTGAGTTCCAGCTGAGCAATTCTGTGCAGTCGGCTCTGGTAATATATTGGAAAGAATTAAGGAATTGCCACCAAAGATTTACCTTAGTATGTGTTACCACAGAGTGATAATGTGATAATGACAGTAATGTGTTAGCATAGAATATAGATGTGGAGTTCTACCACTGATGTCAGCTCAAGGACTTTGTTTCTCTTATTATTGTAATTTTCATCATTTGTATTTAGCACAAACTGTAGAACTTGCACTGTCTCAACAACTGAAGTTCTGTCTTGTCCCAGCCTAAGGAGACCGTGGTGTCCCGCTGGCGTGCTGACCCCTGGGCCCGAGGGTCCTACTCCTATGTAGCAGCTGGATCCTCTGGAAATGACTATGATTTGATGGCTCAGCCAATTACTCCAGGACCAGCCATTCCAGGTGCTCCACAGGTGAGAGATGTCTCAGCGCTGGTTAGAAAAACCTCAAAACAGAATGATTTTTCTGAATAGTTTGTATACATAGAATCATAGAATCAATCAGGTTGGAAGAGACCTCAAAGATCATTGAGTCCAACCCTACCGTCATTACTAGACCATGGCACTAAGTGCCACATCCAGTCTTGTCTTGAAAACCTCCAGGGATGGTGAATCCACCACCTCCCTGGGCAGCACATTCCAATGCATGACTATGGCACACTGGGACAGCTGCTCCTGCGCCTTCAGTACTTCCTTCTTGAAGTATGACCATCCCTCCTGGACCCCTTTGTTTTCTAAGGGCTGTTTCCCAAGGTACACTTCGAACCAAACTTTTGAGCAGGCCAAAGTGTGCTCTCTGGAAGTCCAGGGTAGAAGTTTTA